CGGTGGTGCTGAAGGGACAGCTCCGCTCCCCTCGCTCCGCCCGGCCCCGCCTCGCCGCCGAGCTCGGGGTCAGGGACACGGGGACACGGCGGGGACTCCAAACCTGCTGTCCCCTCCCTGGGCACGCCGGGCGGGACGCTGGGGAGAGGGGCTTGCAAACAAACTCCTGCCCCACTCGCGCTGCCGGCGCCTGCGCCTGCACAAGCCCTCGTCTCTCGCATTGCAGCGTATTCTAATTATCCCGAGGAAGAAGGATAATTATCCCTCGGAAGAGGGATAATTCTTTGGGGTTTGATCCGAGAGCTGACCTCCGAGAAGAGGAGATCGTTAGCTGAAAAAGAGGCAGGCAAAGTCCCCATCAGCTGGGGTTCGTGTCTGTCGTGTTTGACGGCGGTTCTCATTTCCCAGTTGAAGGGCGGCTCAAAGCTCAGCTCAGCTCAACTCCAGTTTATTCAGCTCTCCAGCTCCTCTTAAGGAGACTCCAATTACCTGTGCAGAGGATGGTAGTGGTGTCTCTCTCTCCCTCTCTCTCTTTTTAAAGAGATCAAATTATTCAAGCATTTAAAGATTGATACTAAAAGAAATCCAGCATGAAAATGCAAGGTCTTCTGAACCCTGATTTAAGTGCTGAACTACTCCTGCACTGCTATCTGTTTCTTGGCATATTCAGGGAAGATATCAAAGGCGAGAGTATAAGTTTCAAATGTATATTAAAAATACATAATAAATATTTTGTCCGACTTCAAAAAAAGCGATAGGTGTTAGCAGTAATCAAAACATCCTGCGCCTAAGCGCTATACAGTATCCCGTATAAATAAATCACACTTCTTTTCTAGTAATAGATCAATAAGAATATATTAACTCAAGAGTGGCTTCCCTAATATTTTAAACATCTCGTGTCAGACTTTTTATTTTATTTTTTGTCACTAATGTATACATATATTTTGTACAAGGTTGCTTTTGAGTGTTTTAGATACAGTAGAAGGAGGAAAGGGAGGAAAGGAAGAGGGGGGAAGGAAGGAAGGAAGGAAGGAAGGAAGGAAGGAAGGAAGGAAG